ATAAATAACTTAATTTACGACTTCACCAGTCCCAAAGCTATATATGACCGCCATGAAAAGACAAAATTCAGATTTATTACCACTTATGGTGATAATAAGTAAAAGATAAAACTGAAAAACGAGCTGGCTAAACGGTTTCGAATCTCGCTCACAAGAGCTAAATCGATGTTAATAAATATAGAATTATCGCTGAAAAGTGATTATTGTATATTTATTTAAAAATTGGTATATTTTTGGTGGAAAATTTTTCAATATAGATAGAAAATTTGTGGACCTACTTTATTGTCAACATCTTTATGTCATTATTAAGAGAAAAGAGCAAATAATTTTTGTATTATTAAATAATCTTTTTTGTTCCTTTTTAGAACGTTCGAAATTTGGATTAAAAATGTTGTTTTTATTGCGTCATCGGGGACCAAAGATTTAGTATAGGGAATTTTAGAGGAGTTTTTTTTTTTTTGGGGGGGACATATTGATTTGAAAAATTCTGCAAAAAAATTAAATAATTGTCGGATTTTAAGGAATATTTCAGGACTTATTCACAAATGAATGCCATTAGTTCTTTTTAAAAAATATTTCTTTTAGATAATCATAGTAAATCTTTTTTTGACATTTGTTACCATCACTTACCTAATTTTACGAAATTTCTAGAAATTAATTTTGCACCACTGAATGTTTGTTTTAGTTCTACGCAGAAATCCTTGGAGAATTTAAATTATCAATTTTTTCATAAAAAACTGGAACACTAGCTACTGATAATTTGATTTGAATCGAAAGATAAAATGCAATAAAATTAAAAATTATTTAATTAGAAAAGCTTTTAATCAATTTTATAAATAAAATATATTATGAATATCATTGTGTTAAAAAAAAATCATTGATGAATAGAGAAATTTTACAAGAATTGTTTTCATTTTTTTTTTTAATTATAAAAATTTATAAAGTTTTAAATCTTTTATATTTCTGCATTAATTTGTACCGGCTAGGTGATACTTTTATTAAGTAAAAACTATGTTTACTAATCATAAAAAATATGTTTATTAATCGTAAAAACTATGTTTACTAATCATAAAAATCTTTTTAATAATGATAAAAACTATGTTTACTAATCATAAAATCTATTTTTATGTTTACTAATCGTAAAAACTATGATTAATAATCATAAAAAATTTTTTAATAATGATAAAAACTATGTTTACTAATCATAAAATCTATTTTTACTTATCATAAAAAATATGTTTACTAATCGTAAAAACTATGTTTACTAATCATAGACGGAAAAGCTTTCAACAATTCAGCGACACTGGATATTTTTTGCTTGTGTGTGTGTGTATACACGTGCCGATTTTGATAAATACGGATGTCCATATCAGAAAATAAGAGCTATAGTACATTTAAAGCCAAAGTACCTAAAATTAATTAAAACATTAGATTATGGAGAATATTTTCATAATTTTTTTAGATTACTGGATAAGTAAACATTCTATAACAAATGCACTGAAGTTATAATCAAGTAATTTTTAGAGATAAAAAAAACTTAGATAAACTGTTAATCAAACTGTTATCCTGTCATCAATTTAAATAAACACCTACATTCGTGTTAAAAAAATGATTTCTACGATATTTTAAACTAAAAGTAATTCTTGTTTTAAATCGAATTAGTTAAACTTGAAATCAGCAAACATTCTTCAAATAAAGTTTCAAAAAAAAGCATATTTTATTTTTGAAAGATTTTTAATAAAAGAAAATTACGTTATGCTGACAGATGGCTAAAATGACGCTAAAATCAGAGGTTCTTAGCAATTTAAAGAAAAATCTTCCTGTCAATTTAAATTAGTTTTGAAATACACCAACGTATTTTGTTTATTGGAAATATTAAATGTAATCTATTACCTTGAAATTAAAAAGTAAAATAAAAGCTTCAAGATTTTTCATTTTAATATTCATTTTAAACGTTTGGTATCGCTTTTCTTTGTCAGTATCTATCTCTCTCTCTCTATCTCTCTCTCTCTATATATATATATATATATATATATTAAAGAAAAACAGACCACTTTAAGGTACCATTATAATAATTTATTTCACCAGAGCCCTTTTAAACCATCAGATAGCACTTCCAAAACTGAAATGAAACGAAAAAAAAAATAGAAATAAAAATAAAAAAAAAATTTCTTTTAAATATTAGCTCTGTATTTACATTGAGCTCTCAGTTTCATCCTCCTTGGGATTACCCATACGGATTGCAAGTTCTTCATAACAACTATATATATATATATATATATATATATATATATATATATATAAACAAAGCTTTAAAACATAAACACCATTTTATAACACATCGTTCTTAGGAGGCACGGTGGAGTAATGGATACCAACTTCTATTAACAAATGGGAGAGCCGTGTTCGAATTCCAGTCGTAATCCAGTACTTTCACTTACTAATACTCTTGTGTAAGGTATGGATCCTCCTCTTCTACCCCCCTACCAGGACAGACCTGGTTCTATAGCCTTTGATGGCAACTGGTCTACCGCAGAAGAGAAATCGATTGACGCATGTTTTACATATATATCATTGTCTATGGTGCTGTGTATTTGTTTTAACGGTCTTAATCTTTAAAACTTGTCTCTTCTAAATTTTATTAAGGCCTTTCCTCCTCCTCTTCTTCTTTTTCTTTTTATTCTTCTTCCTCTTCTTCTTCTTTTTCTTCTTCTTCTTCTTCCTCTTTCTTCTTCTTCCTCTTTTCTTCTTCTTCTTCTTCCTCTTCTTCTTCTTTTTCTTCCTCTTCTTATTCTTCTTCTTCTTCTTCTTCTTCTTCCTCTTTTTCTTCTTCTTCCTCATCTTCTTCTTCTTCTTCTTCTTCTTCTTCTTCCTCATCTTCTTCTTTTTCTTCTTCTTCTTTTCTTCCTCTTCTTCTTCTTCTTCTTCGTTACACCTCTCCAGAGCTTTCATACATTTCCCTCTCACCTTTCATTCTCACTCCCACACATATACACTCTTATTGATTTTTTTTTTAAACTGGAAGATATATTTTCTGTTTTCTTTTTAAATTTGTAGACCTGATGAATTGGGTCGTGATTACGATTCCAATGTAAATAATTATAACCATGAATTTTTAGTGTTTGAGCCGTTTATATATATATATATTTCTGTCCGAATAATGTAAATAGTGGACATAATACCTCATCTCAGAAATATAGACAGATAATGAAAGGCCGAAACGTTGTAATAAATATGGCGACAATGTCCGAAATATGGCGACAATAGTCCGAATAATGTAAATAGTGTACATAAAACCTCATCTCAGAAATATAGACAGATTGATGTAGGTGATTCTCAATTTATGAGTACTTACGGGGGAATGTCAAGGACCCATTTCTTCTCACGTTAGTTAGCAAACAGCGAAACGTGGACTCTAGATTTGGGTGGCAGCCAGTCTGCGACAAGGATAAATCTTAATTCAATATTGAGGGAAAGCAGTGGAAAACAACTCTGCCTATCTTTCCCAGAAATAATTATGGCGATGCTCAATTTTATATTAAAAAGAAGGAAGCCGGGTTTGAGTCATGAGAGTTTGTGTCCTGAAGGAACATGGGTTAGGATCAGTTTTCGAAACTCAAAAGGAAAAAATGATGTTGAAAACAAATAAAAAAAAAAAAAACGAGCAAAGATATTGCAAGAAACAAATGAATGTCATTGGCCAAGAAAAGATAAATTCATTGGGTATTTTGTTTCTTTGTCTCATCACCGGCGTCTTTCGTTTCCAAAGCTCTGAAATGACCAATGACGTCGATGCAATTTTTTCGTTTGATGTTTACTCGGAGAAACAATTTCGTAATAGGTTATTGTCTTCTAATACAAACTTCTTCTTCTTCTTCTTCTTCTTCTTCTTCTTCTTCTTCTCTCTCACTTTCTCTCTCTCTCTCTCTCTCTCTCTTATTTTCTCTCAAGCTTTTATCCTTCCGTTCTTTTTCTTCTGCATCATTCTCCCTCGCTTTCATTAAAGTTTCCCTTTATTCATCAGTCAACCTCTTTTCGTTTTTTCCTTTTTTTTCTCAATCACTTTTTTATTTCGGATGTATTTACCTTCTTTTTTTCTCTCTCTTTCGCTCGATTCGAAGAAGAAAGGCGAGAACAAAATTTGCTCAGTTTTATCGCAAATACACGTATTTTTCGTAATAATTTTCCTTTGCAATTTATTGTTTCCCTCATATAATTTTAACTGATAATCAATTTGCTCTAGGGCAGGAAGTTAGTTGTTCTGAAGCGTAGCAAGAAAGAAAGAAAGAAAGAAAGAAAGAAAGAACGAAACTGAGTACATTAAAGATACGTGAATAGTAGAAAGAAAGAAAGAACGAAAGAAAGAAAGAAAGAAAGAACATTAAACACCTGCAGATAGTAAAAAAAAAAGCAAAAACAGAAAAAACAACAAAACCTTAGATAGTTAAAGAAAGAAAGAAAGAAAGAAAGAAACTGGTACATTAAAGATACGTGAATAGTAGAAGAAGAAAGAAAAGAAAAAAAAAGAAAAAGAAAGAAAAGAAAAATTACATTAAGGATACCTGAATAGTAAAAAAGACAAAAAGAAAGAAAGAAAGAAAGAACGAAAGAAAGAAAGAAAGAAAGAAAGAAAGAAAGAAAATAAATGTGGTCAAGAAAGAAATAAACTGAGATATACGTTGATGGTAAAAAAAGAAAAAAGAAAAACCATTTTTCACAGTTTTTCCCGCTTCCTTCAAACAAATCCTCTTCTCTTTACTAAAGATTAGAGAATTTGTTTTGCGTCAATTATTAATTCTTATTTGGTGCCTTTCTTATTTGTTTTGCTTCTCGAATATAAAATGGCGCATCAAACACGACCGGCCAGCAAATTGGCGCGCAACTAAATTGGCGCTCGTTCACATTCCTTCTCTGTCGTTTCTTTACGTTAATTATCTCACCTATCTTTCTTTCTGTCTTTCCTTTATCGAATCTTTCCTTTTTTTTTAGATTTATTTTCGATGTTTTCTTATTTTCTCACTCACTCTTTTCTTTTCCTCTGTTTCTCAGTATTTTTCCACACATTCTTTTTCATCTGTTAACAACGTTGCTCTTCTTGTAACACACCCACATTCTCTCACAACTTAATTGTCCCCTCTTTCCACCTCTAAGTTATTCTTATCTTCTCTCCCCACTCTCTTTTGTCTCTCTCAATCTCTGTTTCTCTGTCTCTCTGTCTGTCTGTCAGTTCACTCCATTGCCCTCTTCGTTATTTCTCTATCTCTCTATCACACACTTTCACACACTCTCTCTCTCTCTCTTTCTCTCTTGCTTTTTATCTTCCTCTCTCTCTTTCTCTCCTCTCTCTCTCTTCCTTCACATTTTCTTTTGTTTTCTATCTATTCTCACAATCCTCCTTTTCCTTGATCGATTAATTTTCTAAGACCCCCCTCTCTCTCTCTCTCTCATCTTTTCTCTTTCTTTCCGCATTCGCTCTCTCTCTCTCTCTCTCTGTCTTTCCTCTTCTCTTTCTTTTCAAATTCTCGCTTTTTTCACTTCTCTTTTTTCAAGATTCTCTCTCTCTCTTAATTTCCCCATTCTCTCTCTATCGCGCGCCTTCTCTTCCTTTTCCCTTTCTTTTTTCTCCTCTTCTCTGTATTTCACTTTCTCTCTCCTCTTCTCTTTCTTTTCACTCTCTGTCTCTTTTCTTCTCTTTCTTTTCAAACTCACGCTTTCTCCTCTTCTCTTTCTTTCAAGAGTCTCTCTCCTTTTCTCTTTCTTTCAAGAGTCTCTCTCCTTTTCTCTTTCTTTCAAGAGTCTCTCTCCTCTTCTCTTTCTTTCAAGAGTCTCTCTCCTCTTCTCTTTCTTTCAAGAGTCTCTCTCCTCTTCTCTTTCTTTCAAGAGTCTCTCTCCTCTTCTCTTTCTTTCAAGTCTCTCCTCTTCTCTTTCTTTTCGATTTGATTCAATCCTTTTCTCTTTCTTTACACTTTCTCTCTACTCCTCTCCTTATTTCCTTTATCTCTCTCTCTCTTCTCTTTCTTTTTTCCTTTCTCTCTCTCTCCCCTCTTTTCACTTTATCTCTCTCTCTCCTCTTCTCTTTCTTTTCTTTCTCTCTCCCCTCTCTTTTCACTTTATCTCTCTCTCTCTCTCCTCTTCTCTTTCTTTTCACTTTCTCTCTCTCCCCCTCTTTTTCACTTTATCTCTCTTTCTCTCTCTCCTCTTCTCTTTCTTTTCACTTTCTCTCTCTCCCCCTCTTTTTCACTTTATCTCTCTCTCTCTCTCCTCTTCTCTTTCTTTTCATTTTCTCTCTCTCCCCCTCTTTTTCACTTTATCTCTCCTCTTCTCTTTCTTTTCACTTTCTCTCTCCCCCCTCTTTTCACTTTATCTCTCTCTCTCTCTCCTCTTCTCTTTCTTTTCATTTCTCTCTCCCCTCTTTTTCCTTTATCTCTCTCTCTCTCCTCTTCTCTTTCTTTTTCTTTCTCTCTCTCTCCCCTCTTTTTTCACTTTCTCTCTCTCTCTCTCCTCTTCTCTTTCTTTTCACTTTCTCTCTCTCCCCCTCTTTTTCACTTTATCTCTCTCTCTCTCCTCTTCTCTTTCTTTTCATTTTCTCTCTCTACCCTCTTCTTTTTTCTCTTTCACTCTCTTTTTCTTTTTACTTTCTCTCTCTCCCCCTCTTTTTCGCTTTCTCTCTCTCCTTTTTCTTTTCCGTTTCTCTCTCTGTCCTCTTCTCTTTCTTTTCTCTCTCATTCAACATTCTCAATTTCTACTTCGCTCTCCTCTTTTTTTAGTTAATTTCCATTTTCTTTCACTTGTTTTTCCCGCTTTCTCTTATTCTCTATTTCACTTTCTATTTTCAGTCTTTGTCTCCACCACCCTCTCTCTCTCCCTCTCGCTCCCTCTCTTTCCCTCTCTCTCTCCCACTCACTCTCTCTCACTCTCTCTCTCCCGCTCTCTCCCTCTCTCTCCCCTCTCCTCCTCTCTCTCAGTCCCTCTCTCTCCCTCTAGCTCCTTTTCTCCCTCTCTCTCCCTCTCTCTCTCTCTCGCTCCCTCTGTCCCTCTCTCTCCTTCTCTCTCCCTCCCTCTCTCTCCCTCTCTTTCCCTCTCTCTCTGTCTCCCCCTCTCCCTCTTTCCCTCTCTCTCTCGCTCTCTCTCCATCTCCCCCCTCTCCCTCTTTCTCTCTCTCCCTCTTTCTCTCTCTCCCTCTTTCTCCCTCTTTCTCTCCCTCTCATTCCTTCTCTCTCCCTATCTCCCCTCCCTCCTCTCTCTCCCTCCTTCTCCTCTCCCCTCCTTCTCCCTCTCCCTCCCTCTCCCTCTCTCTTTAAATCTAATATCCTCTTTTATCACTCCTTCTCTTTCTGTCTTCCCAATTTTCTCTTCTCTTTCCGCTTTTTCTCTTTCTTCTCCTTCTCTCTCTCCTCTTCTCTTCTTCGCTTCTCTCTCTCCTCTTTCTATCTCCCCCATTGCACCCTCTTTTCCCTTTATCTCTTGACTAGTCACTTTCCCTTTCTCCTCTTCCACTCTCTTTCCATTTTCTTTCTTTCCTCCTCTCTCATTTCTCCCATTTTCTTTTATTTTGTTTTCTCTCTCTTATTCTCTCTCTTCAAACTTTCTTGATTTCTTCTCTTTCCTTTCTCTTTTTCTATCACTTTCCCTTCTATCTCTTTCCAATTCTCTCTCGCCTTCCCTATATCCCTTTTTCAACTTTCTCCCTTTCTCTCTCTCTCTCTCTCCTTCTCTCTGTGTGTTTCTCTCTCTTCTCTTCTCTTCTCTTTCTTTCTCTCTTTCAACTTTCTTTTCTCTCCTATTTTTCTTGTTCTTTCTTTCCATTTTCTCTCTTCTCTCTCCTTCTCCCTCTCACACCCTCTTTTTTCTTTATCCCTTTCCTCTCCTCTTCCTTTTGCTTCTCCTTTTCCTCCCTTTCATTCTCCTTTTTATTCATCCCTTTCCTCGTCTCTCTCTCATTTTCCTTTAACCCTTTCCTCTTCTTTCTCCTTTCCTTCTCTTTTTCCTTCTCCTTTTCCTTTATTTATTTCCTTTTCTCTCTCCTTTCCTTCTCTATCCCTTTCCTCATCTCTCTCTCATTTTCCTTTAACCCTTTCCTCTTCTTTTCTCCTTTCCTTCTCTTTTTCCTTCTCCTTTTCCTTTATTTATTTCCTTTTCTCTCTCCTTTCCTTCTCTATCCCTTTCCTCATCTCTCTCTCATTTTCCTTTAACCCTTTCCTCTTCTTTCTCCTTTCCTTCTCTTTTTCCTTCTCCTTTTCCTTTATTTATTTCCTTTTCTCTCTCCTTTCCTTCTCTATCCCTTTCCTCATCTCTCTCTCATTTTCCTTTAACCCTTTCCTCTTTTTTCTCCTTTCCTTCTCTTTTTCCTTCTCCTTTTCTCTTTTATTTCCTTCTTTATCGTTTACCCTCTCCTCTTCTCTCATCTTTCTCCATTTATCTCTCTCCTATTCCTTTATCCCTTTCCTCTTCTCTCTTTACCCCTCTCTTTCACTCTCTTTTTTCTTCACCTTTGTCCTTTTCTTTCTTCTTCCCCCCACATCTTTCACTTTCTTTTCTTTTCTCTCTCTCTTCCTCTCTTTCCCTCTCTCTCTCCCTCTCACGCTCTCTCCCGCTCTCTCCTTCTCTCTCCCCCTCTCTCTATCCCCTCTCTCTCTCCCCCTCTCTCTCTCGCTCCCTCTCTCTCCCTCTAACTCCTTCTCTCCCTCTCTCTCCTTCTTCCTCCCTCTCTCTCTCGCTCCCTCTCTGTCTCCCTCTCTCACTCTCTCTTTCTCCCCACATCTTTCACTTTCTTTCCTTTTCTCTCTCCTAATTATCAGCCTGTGAGAAACCTTTTCCATCACACAATGCTGTTTTTTTTTGTCGACAGTAAAAGGAAATTTTGCCCCAGAAATAATGCAAAATCACAAGAAAGACATAGAAAAAAGGAAACGTAATCCAGCGAAGGCAGACATTCTGGGGGAAAAATGGTAAACCAAAAAAAAAAAAAAAAAAGAAAAAAAAAGAAAAATTACAACAAACCTAATGTGAAATATAATAGAATATTTTTCTCGGAAAGACTCTATTCTAAAAACAAAACAAAAAATGAAGAAAGGACGTACTTGTTCGCTAAATACACTTCATTTTCTAAAGAATTTTTCAGGAGTAAACGAAAGAAAAGGCGAGAGAAAATAAGAATGCTGAATATTATTTTCCTGTGGGGCAAATTTGAAAATTACGGAACAAATACAAAAACAAAATCTTTACAGACAAAAGAAATATTTCATGGTTTGGTCCACAAAACTGATTTTCATTTTCTGCTCACAGAAATTAAGATTAACATAATTCAATCTTTTTGTTTTCTCCGCAGGTGAATAAAGGACGGACATTCGTTATTTAAGATCATTTTTTAATTTTCTTTACAGATTTAGGACTTAAAAATACAAATAAAGCAGTCTCATTGATGTCGGAAACTTTAAGATGAGGATAGGATGTTTTATTAGATGGACAAGAATAACTTTATGGTGGGGGAATCTAAAACCCAAGAGGGTTGTTGCTTGAATTTAAAACATTCCAACGCTTGTTGCTCTCGCCACTTTTACTCCATTTTATTTTCTCATACTTCCTGACAGTGGAACTCCCTTACGCTAATTTGGCCCTGATAACTATAATCTTCAAAAATTTCAATGCAATGTCAATTGCCATCTTCTATTTTCTTAAACCCCGTTTATCTTTTATCCTTTTCTCAATCCTTCTCCCAACCCTTTACCCAGTCTCATTTTCACTCTCTGTAGCCCCCACCCCTGCGTGCTTGGAGTTGTGCATGAGTATAGAAGACATTATTCAATCTTCATGCACAACTCCAAGCACTGAAATAAAACATTATTCAATAATAACTCTTAACAAAACTAGGCAAATCAACCATTACCCCACGCCGGAAGTCATTCCCAAGCAATGTGTCTTGCTTATTCGAAGTCAGTTCGATCAATTTAGTCCACACTAGTTCAGTTGATGAAAGATATGGAAACTGACATAAGATCAAGTCATAATTCTCCTGATTTTCCTTTGATCTTAGATCATTTCCATCTTAGATCATTTGGATGTAGTTTTTAAGGTGTGTTATAGATCATTATCTTGATGCAAAATAAAATTTTGTCCAATAACGCGGCACAGACAGAAGAATTTTTTATGAATTTTTTATTAACTTAGAGAAACAATTCAAAGGTGGTCCCAAACCTTTGAACAGTAGTGTATGTATGTCTATCCAAACGTCTTACCTTACATCTATCTGACAATAGCTCTATTAGAACCCATTTAAATACACAGGCACAAACTTACCAGACTCCATCCGAAACATACTAGTAAAAATATACAAACATAATAACCTCATCCATATGTAAAAAGATTAAAAATAAAGGAAGCCTTAATAAAAAAAGAAAAAAAGTCAACACTTAATAATATTAACTACGAACACGGCCGCAATGTGCTGTGTTCGGAAAATAAAACATCTCTATAACTCTAAAAAAAATATAAACGCGACACACACACAAAATTAAATTGAAAAAATAAATTCAACCTTAGTAATGGTTAAAAAGTATAGCCGAAAGTGTTTGGAATTACAGAACACAGTGTATGTATATATATATATATATATATATATATATATATATATACATGTGTGTGTGTGTGTGTGCGTGTATGTGTGTGTGTGTGTGCATTGACAAAGTGCAAAAAAGTCGTATGTCGCGTTTCGTCATGTTGACATCATCGATACTTACGTTCATATGATTACATATGTGCATGAAGAAGTAGGGGAACTGTTAATTTTCTTTTTAAATTATATAATAGTCGAGCGGATGTACAGGAATTGCTTAAAAACCCCTATTTTATATATGTGTGGTCAGCTAGAGAGTCATGACTTTAACATCATGCGATTTTTTTTCTTCAGGGGTTCGTTAAAGGAATATGTCTACAATACCAAACCAAAAATTCAAAGCCGAATACAAAACATTATGTCTCCCATACCACAAGAGTTATTGGTGAAACTAGCTGACGCGATTTCTGGGCGGCTCGAAGATGGTATCGAAATTCCGAATAAATTTCAATCGACAGTAGTATTGGCTGCCCGGTTAAATATTCCCACCTCCACAAAAGAATCTTACAATCTTAAAATATTTTCTGGCTTTGAATAAGCTGCAAAGGATTGAGAAGCCGTAAAAATGAATCAATCAATGGCAGCTGAACGATGCAATGATTCAATCTCTAACACACCAGATATTGACACCAAAACAAACGTGAATGTCAAGTTTAATTCATTTTATATTAAGAATGAAAATCGGACCCAAACTTTTGAAATAACCCGTTACATACATACACACAAAGGCAACGGTATTAGATTAACGATAGTGACAGCAAAAAAGGATCAATGAAAAACACCTTCTTCTTTCCTAATCCCTCAAACAATCCCTTTGGAAATTTTTCATGTCTTGCTGAATATACTCCATTTAGGGCGGTTCAGTAAAAGAATCTCTTAAACACTGAGGAAATATACTGGTTATTTTTCATAAATGCCTTCACCAATTGAATGGAGTGGAAATGTTCGTTTAGCAAGATTGAATCTCAAATATTTTTCATCCTGTTGTGTTTTTTATTATTTCAAAACCAAAGAAAGAATATATATTTTACGATATTCTTAAATCAGTTCCTAGTTGGGACAGGGAGATGATAAAGTGCTCTTGAAAATGCGAAGAATTATGCAGTAACAAAAAAAAAAATAATAATAAAAATAGCGTCCTTAATTCCTGTTCAGTGAATATTCCGTATAAACGGATATATGCGTGTTAATATTCCATGAGAAAATAGGCACCGACAATTTCTTTTTCACGTGCAGTAAATATGCCATCTAGCCGGAACACAACGTGAGGAGAGTTTAAAACTCCATTGAAATGACTGTAAAGAAATTGGTCGAAGATGTCGACAGCCATTGTTTCGATTGTGACATTCACTGCGGCGTAACCATGGTGATCGTTCCAATTCATTGTTTCCTTTGAAAAAAAAATGGGCTTTTGAGTTTAGCCTTATATTCGTTTTCTGTTTATTACTCTTTCATTTAGACTATTTTCATTAATATTTATTTAATTTCTTGTAAAGCAGATGAGGATCTTGATAAGTTTTCTGGGTGCTTGAATTTTGGGAAAGAATAAATAAAAATTGCATAAATAGTTGCTTAATATTTTTAGGCTTCGGTTTCGTAATGGAAATGTCAGTATTAGCTGTTTCCTTATAAGGAAACATTCGGCATTCATTGACCGAGCAGCCAATGCTACTTGAGTTATGCTTTCTTCACTCCCTGGACATCAGGCTGGGATCAAAGTGTAGTATCTGTTCTCCTCATCTCTAATGGTTATATTAGCCGTTCCTTATAAAACCTTCGACATTCATTGACCGAGCAGCCAATGCTACTTGAGTTACGCTTTTTTCACTCCCTGGACATCAGGCTGTGATCAAAGTGTAGTATCTGTTCTCCTCATCTCTAATGGTTATATTAGCCGTTCCCCTTATAGGAAACATTCACCATTCATTGACCGAGCAGCCAATGCTACTTGAGTTACGCTTTTCTTCACTCCCCTGGACATCGGGCTGTGATCAAAGTGTAGTATCTGTTCTCCTCATCTCTAATGGTTATATTAGCCGTTCCTTTATAAGGAAACCTTCGACATTCATTGACCGAGCAGCCAATGCTACTTGAGTTACCTTTTTTCACTCCCTGGACATCAGGCTGTGATCAAAGTGTAGTATCTGTTCTCCTCATCTCTAATGGTTATATTAGCCGTTTTTATAAGGAAACATTCACCATTCATTGACCGAGCAGCCAATGCTACTTGAGTTACCTTTTCTTCACTCCCTGGACATCGGGCTGTGATCAAAGTGTAGTATCTGTTCTCCTCATCTCTAATGGTTATATTAGCCGTTCCTTATAAAAACATTCACCATTCATTGACCGAGCAGCCAATGCTACTTGAGTTACCTTTTCTTCACTCCCTGGACATCGGGCTGCTTGATCAAAGTGTAGTATCTGTTTTCCTCTCGCTCTAATGGTTATTTATATTAGCCGTTCCCTTATAAGGAAACCTTCACCATTCATTGACCGAGCAGCCAATGCTACTTGAGTTACCTTTTCTTCACTCCCCTGGACATCAGGCTGTGATCAAAGTTAGTATCTATTCTCCTCATC